TAGGCCCTTGGAAAATAAGGAATGTGAAGAAATAGGATTCGAAAGATAAAAAGCTGCCGTGGAGTCCTGTAGCTCAGCGGTTAGAGCACTTGCCAGGACGACTGTTTATTGGACACTGCTGTGTGCAATTGGCTGCCGCGTTTCGCCCACAACTTATGCAGTCAATTCACTTTACAGTATATTCTGTGAAGCGCTTTGAGACGTCTCGAAGACGTGATAAAGCACTAAATCAAATGCAAGGATTATTCTTAACTAATAATAATGCAATAATGAATAATACTAATAATGGAGTCCTGCAGCTCAGTGGTTAGAGCACTCGCCTCACAAGCGACCTGGGTTCTACTCCTGGCAGGGCGAAATGTTGAGCAACTTTCCTCTTGATTTTTATGTGATAGGTGCTGTATCAAATGCAAAGGTTACTATATGGTGCAATGAAATCCAACAAATGCCCAGAACTTTGGTGTTGCCTGGAATACAAGTGATAGTGGAGACTAATTGGCTGTGCAAAAAAAAAACAGCTGCTTCCCTTAATTAATGTGCCTTCGGGAAAAGAGCAGTAAGGGGAGAAAAATTGTAGAGAGAAAAAAAACTAGCTTTTTTCCAAGCTGTCAAGGCATTAAAACACTTAAATTGTTCTTAGAAATGACATTTAAAACTAAAGAATTAGTCCCACCAACGTTGCTTGTCAGCTTTATTTTGGATGTTACCGATTTTGTATTTGTGATTTACCAGACGCAAATTTCAGAAGATTGAATTTGTAACATTTGCAGTGAATCTCGCAAATTAGACCCTATTGTTTAAATTGTGCCACATAGAATGTCTTCACTTGATGCACACTGAAATCCTGTAAGCTTGTGATGTGCTTTGAACGTAGTGTGAATGTGCCAATATAGACAGTAGTAAGTAAAATGCATCCTTGTGAAACATCTGTGTTTTTATATAACTAATAAAATGGCATAGATATTTAGCTGTACAGGACTTGAAGACATGGTTACTAAAACTATCTCATTCTCTGTGCAATTGCATTGACATATCATGTATAATGCCTGCATGAATAAGTTTTCTGAAGTGCCATCACTAAGGCAGATCAGCATAATAATTGACTCTGACTCACATCGGAGACCTAAGTAAACAAAACTTTAATCTGGAGTTATTGATGATCTTTGTATAACTTTATGGATTTTCTTTACAACAACAACAACAAGACTACATTTGTATAGCACCTTTCACGTTGGGAGGACGTCCCAAGGCACAGGGTAGAGTACAGCATTTCAAACCCGAGTTGGGGTCGGGGGTAGGGAGAAGGGAGGGGAGGGGAAGGGGGGTGGCCGATGGCATGGTCGAAGAGGAAGGTCTTAAGGCGGGACTTGAAGGAGGCTAAGGAGGGGGCGAGGCGGATGACTGGGGAATGGAATTCCAGAGGTTGGGGGCAGAGTGGCTGAAGGCTCTCCCGCCAATGGTGGGGCGGGTGGGTCGGGGGACGTGGAGCAGGCCAGAGCCGGCTGAGTGGAGGGAACAGGCGGGTTGGTAGGTCGTTAGGAAGTCGCAGAGGTAGGGTGGGGCGAGGCCATGGAGGACTTTGTAGGTGAGGACCAGGATCTTGAACTGGATCCTCTGAAGGATAGGGAGTCAATGAAGTCGGGTGAGAGTGGGGGAGATGGGGTCACAGAGTTTGGTGCGGGAGAGGACACAGGCAGCAGAGTTCTGGATTATCTGCAGCCTGTGGAGGGAGGAGTTGGGAAGGCCGACAAGCAGGGCGTTTGCATAGTCGAGCCTGGAGGTGATGAAGGCATGAACAAGAGTTTCAGAGGCCTGAGGGTTGAGGTAGTAGCGGAGTCGGGTGATGTTACAGAGGTGAGGGAAGGCAGAGCGGGTCATGGCTTGAATGTGGGGGAGAAAAGACAGTTGAGGGTCAAACAAGACACCTAGGTTCCTGACTGGGTTGGTGAGTTGTCGTGTGCCACCATGGCTGTTGCCAGAGCCTGAGGTGCTGAGGCGCTGGCGTGAGCCAATCAGGAGGGCCTCAGTCTTGTTCACATTCAACTGTAGGAAATTTGCCCTCATCCAGGACTTGATGTCCGACACACAGTCTGCCAGGTCAGCAGTGGTCCTGGAGTTGAGGGTGGAGGCAGAAAGATAGAGTTTGGTGTCATCTGCATACATGTGGAAGTTGACCCCATGTCTACAGATGATAATATAATAATAATAATAATCCTTGCATTTGATATCGCACTTTTCACATCGGGAGGACGTCCCAAAGCGCTTCACAGAATATACTTTAAAGTGAATTGACTGTATATTTGTGGGCGAACGCGGCAGCCAATTGCGCACAGCAATGTCCCACAAACAGTCGTAGATTGAAAATGACCAATTTATTATTGTTTTTGGTTTTGGAGGGATTATTATTAGGCGTGTGGAGTAAGGAAACTTGCCCAAGGTTTCGCCCTCTGCCTGGAATTGAACTCAGGTCTCTCGCTTGAAAAGCGAGTGCTCTAACCACTGAGCTACAGGACTCCCCCTTGGTGCCAGATGATGGCACCATTGGGGAGCATGCAGATATTAAAGAGGAGAGGGCCAAGGACAGAGCCCTGGGGGACACCATATGTTACAGTGTGGGGGCTGGAGGAGAAACCTTTAGAGGCAATGAAGTGGAGGCAGTGAGAGAGATAGGAATCGAACCAGGCAAGGGGAGATCCGTGAAGATTGAGTAAAGCGGAGAGGCGGTGTATGAGGTTGGAAGTAATCGCCATACTTTCATTTCCATATGGCATGATGAAAATTAGCTGACTGGGTGCAATTGTGTTAATATCCAGCAAGCGTGAGCTTCCATAGAGATCTATTCTATGAGAAAATAAATGATGCTTCATCGCCAAGACTCACACTGATGCCACAGGAGAGTAACACATGGGGAGAGGGTATAAAAACTCTGCCTGTGTCACACTTGTTTGGATCATTCAGCAAGAACTTCTACATTGTTTTCTACATGAAAACCTTTCTTATGTCAGGCAGCCTTGTGAGCTTTCAACTCTAAGATAGTGCATTTGTGTCACAAGCAGGGGTTCCATGGAGAAATCATAGTTTACATTATAGGTTGCTTTGGTGGTGGCACACTGCACCTTTTGAGACCCCATTGAATTATTTATAATCCATTGTCGTGAATGATCAGGAACCATTTTTTCAATTAGAGTTTTGTTTTTGATGGATATATTTTTTGTTTTTTGCGTCAGCCAGGTGTCTGACATATGCAGCAATCCATCACCACGCTTAAGAATATCCAAACCAGACTGATAGTTCCATGTATGGCAACTACACGTTGACATTTCTGGGTCTGGAATGGAATGTGAAATTTCTCTCCCCTGCTTAACTAATTCCAGAGAGTATTAAGTCCAGGTTGGAGAGAGCCCAAGTTTGGGGATCACAGAGTGTGCGTTGGGGTACTGCTGGTGACCAACCAGCTGAAGTCACATAGTTGCCATTGAATGCCATGTTTGTGATGTTCACTGTATTTTGAAGAGTAGATTGAGTTATTTTTAAAATAAAAACAACTTCAATTAAAATGTCAATATAAAAATGTAACCTTTCATTTTATTCTAAATATCTCTATTTAAAATATGGACTTGAGGTTATATTCAAGCTCTAGTCATGGGAAATGCATAATAAGCAGGTTAAGCAGCCATGGAATAAGCACAGATTCATAAATCCGTGGGAGATTTATTTCATAGATTTTAATGTGATTTATTTTTCAAGCATATCCATTGACGATTTTATGTCCTAATTGGATCCAAGCCACACTGTCAGACATGATTTGAGAATCTTGACAGAATTCTGAAATGTCATCACCGACAGGATCTGCCCACCGCCCCCATCCCAATCTGTCATCTCCACTTGTGGCAGACAGAATTGGGACTGGCACCATTTTCAAACGGGAAAAATGCTTCATGCTTTCAGATGCAAGTATCAATTAAGCACAACTTCAGATACCCAGCCTGGGGTCTCATTCCTCAATGGCCTCGTCTCTCTTTCATTACAGAATACAATACATGAATTTTTTTGCCTGAAAAGAAAAAGGCTTCAGCACTGGTCCCCGTTTCTATTGCAGTGACTGTGACACTTGTATCTAATTCAGGGAGGGCACTGGAGTAATTATTAAGTACATAGTCAAATTGTTTGCTTGAAGTGATATTTATTAACTTTAAATGTGTCTTTAATGAAGATGCGTATGAAGATGTGAAATACTTTTTAAACTGTTGATTAAAATGTGTGGTATAACAGTTGCCTAAAAATATAGCTGCCTTGCTGAAATCATACTAATGGTACTTATTAAACTATGCATTAACACCCTTGTGCTTTAGTATTCTTAGTGATAAAATGCATTGTTTTTGTTCCTTTGAAAGAACTTGACATACTGTCTGGTACATTTGTAAGTAACATGCTTGAATTGAAGTTTTAACTATTTGCCTCAATTTAGTGATCAAAGAGACAGTATTCCTCTTGTTGATCAATATAGATTGTAGTTCAAAAGAGTTGAGAATTGGAAATTTGATTTTTTTACAGTTTGTATAAAATTGATTTATTTGTAGAGGACAACTGCAAGACCATTGATTACTCTGATCCAAGTATCATTAGAGCGGGGTTTCTCTCGGTGTTGTGGTCAACAATCCCCAAATAAAATTGGTCATTCACTTTGAGACTGTTTGTAGGATATTAATGGGTGCAAATTGGCTGCAGTGTTCGCCCACAAATCCACAGTCACTGCACTTTACAGTATATCCTGTGAAGTGCTTTGGAAACTCCTCCCCACATGAGACGCATAATACCAAATGTCAGGATTATTATTTAGAATCTTGGACTGATTTGCTGTTTGGGGCAAAGTTTGTATAAATAACAATTTGCGGACTAAAAATGAAATGAAACAAAATAGCAAAACGAATATTGTCTCTTTCAGCCTCATTTCCCAGACTAGTGATAACACAATACTTATATTATCCTATATTTTACAGGTGGAAATTATGGCAACTCATTTGACATAGAGAAAGGCATGGGTACAATTGTTATCGCAAAGACGCTGGATGCTGAACAGAGGTCCACATATAATATGACGATAGAAGTCACAGAAGGGACTAATTCAGCTACCACTCAGGTAAAGCAATCAGACAACATTGACATTCTGTGTGTATTGTATCTGTGGATGATCAAGTTTATGAGTTCCTGGTTTTCCTGTAAAGATGTATTTTTCTGATATTGCAGTAATTGTAGGCAATGGGATAATGTGTAATGCAGAAAGGTTGGTGATGCAGGGTCATAGAAAGAACTACCAGGTGCTCTAGTATTTAAAATGTTCACATAAATCATCACTGACATGACCATTATTCCATCCCATAGCTGAGGAGTTTATATTTTTCCATGGCTTTTCTCTTCCTCCATGGATGATTTGTCCAGTACTTCATGCTTCCTCCACTTGATTTCCCCACGAAATAGACACAATGACACCACAAAAATTGTATCCTGTGAAGCACTTTGAGACATTTCAACAATGTGATAAGTTGCTATTTCAAATGTAAGGATCAGTATTATAACATAACATGTAGGAGCAGGATTGGCCATTCGGTCCTTCGAGCCTGCCCCACCATTCAATCATGGCTGATCTTCTAATCTAACTCCAGCTAATAACCTGACCCTGCCTTATCCCCATATCCCTTAATCCCTTTTGCAATAAGAAAACTATCTATCTCAGTTTTGAATATGTTCAAGGACTGAGCGTCAACAGCCCTTTGGGGTAGTGCGTTCCATATATTCACCACCCTTTGAGTGAAGAAGTTCTTCCTCAACTCAGTGGGAAAGGGTTGACCTCTGATTTTAAGGTTGTAACCCCTGGTTTTAGTTTCTCCAACCAGGGGAAACAATCTCCCACTATCTACTCTTATCATGCCCTTTGATGATCTTATAGGTTTCCATAAGATCCCCTCTAATTCTTCTATATTCTAGAGAATATAGGCCCAAATTGATCAGCCTATCCTCGTAACTCATCCCCTTCATCCCTGGCACTAACCTAGTAAATCTACGCTGCACCCCCTCCAAGGTAAGTACATCCTTCCTTATTAAATAAGGAGACCAAAACTGCACACAGTATTCCAGGTGTGGTCTCACCAGGGCCCTATACAGTTGCAGCCAGACTTCCCTACTCTTATACTCTAATCCTTTCATAATGAATGCTAACATACCGTTCGCCTTCCTAATTGCTGCTGCACCTGCAGACTAACTTTCTGTGATTGGTGTACAAGGGCACCCAAGTCCCTCTGGACACTAACACATTCCAATCTCTCCCCTTCTAAAAAATAACCCGCTCTACTGTTTTTGCTACCTAGGTGGATGACTTCGCACTTCCCTACATTATACTTCATCTGCCACCTTCCTGCCCAATCACCTAACCTATCTATGTCTCGCTGTATTTTTTTAATGTCGTCCTCTGTATTGATACTTCCTCATAGTTTTGTGTCATCCGCTAATTTAGATGTAGATGGTAAATAGCTGAGGCCCAAGGACTGATCCTCCACTAGTCACATCCCGCCAATCTGAAAATGACTCGTTTATTCCTACTCTTTGTTTCCTATCCATTAACCATTCCCCAATCCACGTTAATATGCTCCCCCAAATCCATGGGCCCTTATCTTTTGAACTAACCTTTTAAGCGGCACCTTATTGAATACCTTCTGGAAGTCCAAATTGACCACATCCACTGATTTACCCTTATCTAGTTTACTGGAAATATCCTCAAAAAACTCTATGAGATTTGTCAAACATGACTTACCTTTTGTAAAGCCATTTTGACTTGGCCTAATTATATTGTGCTCCCCTAAATACCGCACTACCACATCCTTAATCAATGATTCTAAAATTGTTCCTATCGCTGATGTGAGACTAACTGGCCTATAGTTCTCCATCTTTTCCATTCCACCTTTTTTAAATAGTGATGTGACATTTACGATCTTCCAATCCATGGGGACTGTTCCAGAATCCAAGGAATTTTGGAAGATCAGATATAAGGCCTCCACTATCTCATAAGCTACCTCTTTTAAAACCCTGGGATGCAAGCCATCTGGACCAGGGGATTTGTCACTTTTTAGTGCTAACAGTTTCCCTCGCACCAATTCTCTACTCATGAAAATTTCCCTAAGTTGCTCGCTGTCCTTAACCCCTCGGTGCATCTCTATTGTTGGCAGACTTGTTGTGTCTTCTCGGGTGAAGACAGATGCAAAGTACCCATTTAGGCACTCTGCCATGTCCTTATACTCCATTGCAACTTCTCCTATCTCTGACTGTAGTGGACCTACCTTTACCCTCACTCGCCTATTCCTCTTAGTATATTTGTAAAAACTTTTACAATCAGACTTAATGTTCCTAGCTAGCTTACCCTCATACTCCTTTTTCTCGCTCTTAATGAGTTTTCAGTTTTTTTTTGCTGGTTTCTAAAACTCTCCCAATCTTCAGATTTGCTGCTTTTCTTGGCAGTTTTATAAGCCTTTTCTTTTAATTTGATACTTTCCCTAACTGCTCTAGTTAGCCACGGATGAATTGCTTTCCCTGTGGTACTCTTATTCCGCAAGGGAATATGCGACCGCTGAGAATTTTGCACTTCATCCTTAAATACTTGCCACTGTTGGTCTACATTTTTACTTCTTATTCTCCAGTCTATTTTACCTAAATCTTTCCTCATACCTACAAAATTAGCCCTATTTCAATTCAGAATATTTGCCTCGGATTTAACTATCTCCCTCTCTAACTTAATGCAGAATTCAGTCATATTGTAATCACTCTGCCCTTGAGGATTCTTAATACCCACACTGCCAACTAGCCCTGTTTTGTTACACGAAACAAGGTGTAGGATGGCCTGTCCCCTAGTTGGTTCCTCGGCATGCTGCTCTAGAAAGTTATCTCTCATACACTCAATGAACTCTTTTTCTGACCTACTGTTGCCGATTTGGTTTTCCCAATCTATGTGGAGATTGAAATCACCCACTATTATCGGTTTTAAAAGAGGCGGCTACTGAGATAGTGGATGGCTTGTCTTTGATCTTCCAAAATTCTCTGGATTCCGGAACGGTTCCCATTGATTGGAAGATTGCAAATGTAACACCACTATTTAAGAAGGGTGGGAGAGAAAAGATGGGGAACTATAGACCAGTTAGTCTGACATCAGTGGTTGGGAAAATTCTTGAGTCCTTAATTAAAGATGTCGTTATGGGATTCCTGGAAGACCATAACAAGATTAGGCAGAGTCAACATAGCTTTACAAATGGGAAGTCATGCTTAACTAATCTTTTAGAGTATTTTGAAGATGTATCTAGCAGGTTAGATAGGGGGGAACCAGTAGATGTAGTATATTTAGATTTTAAAAAGGCATTTGACAAAGTGCCACACAAAAGGCTATTGCACAAGGTTAAGGCCCACGGGATTAATGGGAACATATTAGCATGGATTGAAGAGTGACTAATGGGTAGAAAACAGAGAATAGGGATAAGCGGGTCATTCTCGAATTGGCAGGATGTGACCAGTGGAGTGCCACAAGGATCAGTGCTTGGGCCTCAGCTATTTACAATTTACATCAATGATCTAGACGAGGACATTGAATATAACGTATGTAAATTTGTGGATGACACTAAACTAGGTGGGAGTGTAAGCTCTGAGGATGATGCAAAAAGATTGCAACGGGATATAGATAGGCTGGGGGAGTGGGCGAGTAGGTGGCAGATGGAATTTAATGTGGGGAAGTGTGAAGTTATTTACCTAGGTAGAAAAAAGAGAAAAACAGATTATTTTCTAGAGGGGGAGAGATTAGATAGTCTTAGTGTTCAGAGGGATTTGGGTGTCCTTGTACACCAGTCTCAAAAAGTTAGTTTGGGCAGGTGCAGCAAGCAACTAAGAAGGCGAACGGCATGTTAGAGTTCATTGCAAAAGGTTTAGAGTACAAGAGTAGGGAAGTCTTGCTGCAACTGTATAGGGCTTTGGTGAGACTGCACCTAGAGTATTGTGTGCAGTTTTGGTCTCCTTATTTAAAAAAGGACATACTTGCCGCAGACGGGGTGCAGCGTAGATTCACTAGGTTAGTTCCTGGGATGAGGGGACTGACCTATGAGGATAAGCTGAATAAACTAGGGCTATATTCTCTAGAGTACAGAAGAATTAGGGGAGATCTTATTGAAACATATAAGATCCTTAAAGGGCTGGATAGACACTTAGGGTCTTATGTTCTTACCTTTCTTACGTGCTCCACTGATTTCTTGATTAATACCCTGTGCTATACTGTAATTGCTGTTTGGGGGTCTATAAACCACTCCCATTAATATTTTCTGCCCTTTATTATTTTTTATTTCCACCCATATTGTCTCGACCTCCTGGTCATCGGATTTCAGATCCTTCCTCGCCACTGCTTTTATTTCATCCCTAATTAACAGGGCTAAGCCCCCACCTCATTTCCCACAGTGCCTGTCTTTCCTGTAAACTGAGAACCCTGGAATATTTAACTCCCACCCAAGATCTCCTTGTAACCATGTTTCATTGATGGCTACTAGATCGTACTCATATGTGTCTATCTGTGCTTTTAATTCATCAGTTTTATTCTGAATGCTTTGTGCATTCAGATATAACATTTTTAATTTCCTACCATTTCCTCTACTCTCTGATTCCTTATCTACTTTGCCAAGCTTCTTACTCCTAGTTAACATATTCCTATTATCTGGCATGCTATTCTGCATTGTCATCTTTACTTTTTCTAATGCTAACTTATGGTCTCTCTTACCTATATATTCCCCCACCTTTACTAGTTTAAATTCCTATTTATTTCCCTGTTAATTTGTTTAGCTTGGACATTTGTCCCAGTACTATTTAAATGCAGCCCTTTTCTCTGAAAGAGCTCTCTTTTCCTCCAAAACTCGTGCCAATGGCCCATTAAAAAAAAACCTGAGTTCCGCACCACTCTTTCAGCCATGCGTTCAAGTCCTTAATTTGTTTGTTCTTGTACCAATTGTCGTATGGTACAGGCAGTAGTCCTGATGTTACCACCTTTGATGATCTCGACTTCAATTTGGACCCCAGCTCTTCGAATTCCCTTCTCTAGTCATCTTGGCCAACTCTACCAATGTC